GGAGTGTTAGAAGTTGGATCTTGCATCCTTTTGCCTGCTCCTACTGTAACTTCTACTTTCTATTTTCCTTCCTACCTTCTTCCCAAGCCATTTTCATTAGTCCTAATGCCAAGGACAAAACAGTTGTCATTGACTCTGTCATTCCCTATCACTACTCCTTATTTCCCTCACCTAAAGTGTCTGTTTGCCACAGTACTGCTCTAAAATCTTCCACATATTTTATTTCATTTTATCTTCAAAATATAAGGTGTGTAGGGCAGAACACAAAATTTATATCTCATAAACTATAAACTGAGTATCATGTAGTATAAGTAATGTGTTTGCCCACATTTTCAAAGCTCATCAGAATGGAGACTAAAACTCAGGGATGTATAATTCTTAGTTCAGTGTTTTATGATGCAGAATTGTACAATAGAAAGCATAAGTTTCAAAATAGGTATTCCTGAGATTTGAATTCTAGTCCCATTGCTCATAGTGCGCTGTGATATCCTGGATTAGTTACTTAACCTTTCTAAGCTAAAATCTGAAAACCCAGGGAAGATTTCAGACAATCAGTACAAAAACCTCCTAGAAATAAATGGAAATACATCTAGCTTCAGTTCATTATTTGGATTCAGATGGGCATCTTAAATCCAGGTTCTCAGGGAGAATAAAAGCAATTATAACAAGGCAAAATAAAATAGGCTCTTTACACTCAGGTGGGGAACTGCCAAAAAGCACCTCATACATTTTTAAACATTCTCCATTACTATTCTAAATAGTCTTCTGTTATAAGCACCTAGCAGTTCTTTCCAGGTTAGAGATTTTCTTTAAGGGACCATGCCCTGTGTGGCTGCAGCAGGCTTCCATACTACTTGTGAGCCTCAGCTTCCCTGGTGGGGTGAGACCAAGACTCCCACCTCACACGTCAGAGCCTTTCCCCAGATTTTCACCTTTCAACCATATGCCCTTTTTGGGTGGTCTCCAATTTGGAGTTTTTTCTACGGTTGTCCATGCTGCTTTTTGATTCCCATTCTTTTCCTGCATCACGATACACTCTCACTCCCTTCAAACTGTTCCACATAGCCTTCAGCTTCACCTGCTGAATGTGAGGCTGGACACTTTGGTGAAGTACTTGCCAAGTATCACCTCATTTAATCCTCAACAACCCTGTAATCAACCCTGTGATCAACAACAATCAACTAACAATATAATTATTAGTCCCATTATACAGGCAAGGAAACCAACATTGAGAGTCAGAGATTGGTGACTTATCCTGATTCCCACATTTAGAAAGCGATGCCTGAATCCAGCTTGAACTCTAAATTCTGATTTTTTAGTAGTCCTACTCAGCTAGCCCCCATGCTTCTTTCCACCATAGTATAAAGCTCATTTCCTCTTTGGGAAAGCAGAGTGCTAATTAATGTTCTTACTGATTAATTAGCATATGCAAAAAAGTGAGCCCATGCTATTTGACCAGGTGCTGAACTGCTGAACTGTGTCTGTGCTGTTGTCAAAAGTCTTCAGAACAATGCTGTCCTTCCAGCATCGAAAACTTCTTGAATACAAACTTTATCCCTGTAATGCAATCTTCCACATGAGCACTAACTAAGTGGGTTTTATTGGAAATAAACTAACAACAAAAACTTAAGTTAAAACAGACTGACAATTACCTGTCTCCGAGAAGGGGAGACAAAAATAGAAGGCTTATTGATCATCCTTCAGACGATTACTATGAGCCTTCAATGTGGCCAAGCTACACGGTCTTTGATTTTCTGCATCAGTTCCACTTTCAAATGTTTTGTCCTATTCCCCTGTTGTTGATTAATAGTTGTCCAACTGTGTGTCCCCATTCTATATTTGTAAAATATGGTCATGGTACTTAAAAATAAACTTCTATTTAAAAACAAAACAAAACAAAACAAAAAAACAAAAAACACCTGGCCTTAGTTTTGAGGTGTTTTATTTTTGAAACTTGTCCCAAAGGCTTTTTTCTCTGAGACGTGAGGACTCTTTTTATTTGCCTTTATTCCAATCCGTTAAGCCCCCAAACATTCCTCTGCATGGCTGCTGGAAGTTTGCTGCTGACACTCTCTCTCCAGGTAGCTCCTGCCACCACCCATTCAGCATCGAACCCCTGGGGTTGAGCCTCCAACTTTCCAGATCTCCATTATTGGATCTTTTTCTTTCTTCTTTTCCCTCTTGCTGCTTACCTTTTAGAAACCGTTCTTTTCAGGTCAAAAGTCAGATATTTACGCTATTTTAGAAAAGCATCTAAAGGTCATTGCCCACCTCCTTATTTGGCGGAGAGAAAGACAAGATGGAATATTTGGGTGTGGTAGCAATTAAGGCAGGAGCAAGGGGAAAGTGACCAGAGGAGGTCTCATTACAGTGACCTAGAAGAATTCACTTTACTGGCATCAGTTCTCCTATTTACTCCTAGAAGGCAGTAGCCAGTGGGTCCTCTATGGAATTGTGCTACACTTAAGCGCTCCACCATTTCATACCCTTGTTATGATCTCTTGTAGTTAGATTCCAGTATTTCCTGATTATGAATCACGTAATAGATCACTTTCAGTCAGATGACAGCCCCCACAATGCCATCTAACAAGGGAGAAAGTGAAGGGTAGTAAGATATATGAGACCTTAACCAGCCATTTTCTTGAGAGGCAAGAGAGTACATAGCCTTTGAAGCCAGCAACCAATGTTAAAATCCTGGCTTCCACTTAAGAGCGATAGCATTTTGGATATGTTATTTAACCTCTTTGAGCCTCAGTTTTCCCATCTGTAAGATAAAGATTAAACACCACCACTTAGGTCGCTAAGTAGTTAAGAGTATTAAATAAGATAGTGCATACAAAGCACTAAGCGCCTAGCATATGGGGAACACTCGTAAAGCCCCTAAGATACATCAGTGAACAAAAAGACTTCAGTCTCTCTACATGCTCTATATCTTACCTCATATTTGTATAATGATGTTGTGGATTTTTAAAAGGTACCAGAGAGAAGCAATCAGCTAGTTTAGGCATAACATTTTCTACCAGGGAGAAATAATATAGGTTGCACAATAGCCCACACGAGAAAAAAAAAAAAATCATTTTTACCTGTTGTGCTCTCAAAGTAAGTATGCACTTATTCATGGTAATTTTAAAATTCGCTCTTAACCATCTCAGAATACTTTCAATGCAAAATTGTGCCCTCAAATTACCACTGCTAAAATAAAATGTAATTTGCTAAGGACAATCATGTTTGAAAAAAAAAAAATCTACCTGAAGCACAACTCAATGGGTTCTGCCACAGTCGGTCAACATTTTCCATTTTGCTTATTTTTGCCACTTCCCTTAGCATGGGCTATTTGTGTTAGTGCCTGTTTTCTAACATCTGTACCTGCACCCACGTAAATGGAAGAATATATTTCTCATATGATAATGGAAAGTCTTCACTTAACACTTTCAACTTGACCTTGCCTAGACTGAAGGGAAGCGCTGAAGCGGAAGCTAGTCATCTCCGCCTGCTGCCGACAGGTGGCGGTAGCAGTCATGCAAAGTTCTTTTAGTCTTTGCTCAGCTGCTCCACTGCGGTGATTCTCAACTAGCCAGGCAGCATCCTTGTGGTGTCTGTGCTAGGTTTTAAGATATGTACAGACATTAACCCGAAAGCCTGTCTTTTAAGTACAAAACTAAAGGCAGGTTTGAATGTGGTGATAAAAAGTATAAGATGACAATGACAATAGTAGAAACCGAAAAATGATAAACATAGCACTTGTGGTGGAACACACTATTCTAAGACCTGAATGGCTGGCTGCAAAGGACAGTGCATATGTACTAAGTGCTGTATCTAAGCAGTGAACAATAGTAAAGCAAGGAAAATAACTGAATAACTGATAGTATGTAGAAACAAAACAACCCAAAGCAAAATAAAACACTTTTTTTTCTGCCGTTAGGGAATAAGCCCCAGTGTCAAGTGGCAACTAGTCACATGACAATTAACTTAACATTAATGCAGGAGAGGCTAGGATTTGTTGGAGATTTAAAGCAGTGGTTGTCAATCTTAACTGCACACTAGAATCACCTGGGGAGCTTTTAAGACTCCCGAAGCCCAGGCCAATAATCAGAATCCCGAGGGGTGGGACTCAGGCATCAGCAGTGTTGAAAGCTCTTCAGGTGATTTTAATGTGCACCCAAGGTTAAGAACCATTGCCTTCAAATCTAAGCATGGGGAAAATGGGTTGCTACAGGTTCCATGGATTAAAATCTATTTGGATGTACAGATCGATGTGTGTGATGAGTGTTAATACCTTGGCAAGAATTATTTCCCTATGACATTTGTATCTTCAAGGAGAGAAATCACCTGCCTTGAGGGATTTTTCCTTTTATAGTCTTGAAAACCGTATGGGTGAGAACATGTATTGCCAAGGAATAACAAGAGTATGCCTTTCATATACCTATTTGAAGAAAATGTATCCCAGAGCCACAAGCATCAACATCCCTTAGTCATTTCAGTGAGTCCATTTATAAAAAGGTGGACACAAAAAAATTTTCAAAACTATAGGAGTTTCTAGATGCCAGCACCTTTCCCTCACTTTCATCTTTAAAAGATTGCTGGGCACAGTGGCTCACGCCTGCAATCCCAGCGCTTTGGGAGGCTGAGGCAGGTGGATCACACGCTGAAACCCCGTCTCTACTAAAAATACAAAAATTAGCTGGGCTTGGTGGCAGGCGCCTGTAATCCCAGCTACTAGGGAGGCTGAGGCAGGAGAATCACTTGAACCTGGGAGGCGGAGGTTGCAGTGAGCCAAGATCGCATCATTGCACTCTAGCCTGGGCAACAAGAGCAAAACTTTGTCTCAAAAAAAAAAAAAAAAAAAAAAAAAAAAAAAGGATTAATTGCCGGCCTACCCACGCTCTCAATGTAATCTGGTTACCTTCCATCATTAACAACCAAGTTTTACAGGAAAACAAATGCATGGTTTAGTCCTCAGTACAAACCCCCAGGCCCTTCTTGTTGCAGCCCCGTTTTACCTTATCTGCCATTATCATAGAGGAGCCCCCGTGGATGCCCAGGATAGGGGTGAGAGTCTGTGCAGAAATGAAATCGAGGATCTGGGCGATGGCTTCCTGGTCTGTGTCATCAGCAAACACCACCCCCTGGATCTTCCGGTCAGACATGAGATCACAGATGCGGGTGATGATGCTCTTTGGGTCGGTCTCATTCATGGCTACCAGTTCCACCCGAGGCACCACGGAGAGATGGTGGAAATCATCTTTCTCGTGGGCATCCTTGATGGCCACCTCGTCGGAAGTGCCCACGAGGATGACAGCAATGCCAATGCTGGGGGGGCTCTTCTGAGAACGAGCTCTGCTGCCTGACACGGCCAGGACAGCCAACACCAACCAGAACTTGGGAGAACAGCACTCCGCTCTGGGCTTCATCTTCAACTCGTCGACTCCCTGCAAACACAAAGAGAGAGGGAGTTAAAATAGGACCCACACCATGTAACCTGTCTTAGAAGAGGCTAGCTACTGCAATTCAAGGACCTTATCTCTTTTCATTGAGCACCAAACCCAACTCCATCTTCCAGCCTACTGTCTTATCTCTGGTCTTTCCTCTGCAGAATGAGAGAAAATGAAACTTTCAAAAACCTCAGAAATCCCTGAGCAAGGCAATAAAAGGTGCTATTGCTATAGTCATTGGCAGCTACAGACAGACAAAAGAGGAAAAGAGATTGTGAGTGGTCCAGGTAGCCATGCAGGTATACATACACGAGTCTCCTGGCCCTCCTGTTACAGCCCACCCTAGTACTGTTCTTGGGCTCAGGGACGGCAAGGCCAGGCAAAGTGAGCATAAAAACATACTCAGCAGAGGTGAGCAACAGAACATGGGCTGGATAAACTGGATGTGGGGGGGGCTATAGGTACACAAGCCCTGCATTCTTGCTGCCTTCACCTTATGTTTGCCTCAATGAGGACGACAGCCAGAAAATTCTTTAGTAACCTTGTTAGTATCTGGCTCTTAATATTAAATTACAAGAACAACTGATACATGACTAGTATTTTTAAAACATTGCCTCAATTGATCCTTACAATGACCCAGTAGGGAATAAAATAAGAAAAACATTATCATCCCCATTTTATAAATGTTGACACCAAGGCTCAAAGAAGATAAGTGTTCTAAGACCATGTACCAATCAATTAAGTGAAACAAACCTGAACCCAGATCTTCTGACTTTTGTATTCCAATATGTGTTCCATTACACTACATGGAACTGCCTCTCATATAACCAATTATCATAAGGAACACATATTACTCCGATCTATTTATGCACCAAAATACAGAAACTTAAATACCATTAGCAGCCACATTTGAAAAATGTTCCTTTTTTTCTGCTGCCATCCTATAGCCATGACTTCTCTAAAATGACTGATGCCGTATTTTCATATAATTCATATAATTTCATATAATTTACCACCTTTTACCTACAAAGAACTCCTTCTTTTTTACTTCCACATATAACCCAAATCTTACTCTATGCAGCAGACTAAGGACATAATGCTCTATAGAATATAAGCCTTGGCCATCTCTCTCTAAGCTTCTCATCATTCTCCAAGAGCTCCTCTTAATATAACTAGTTCTGCTTATGTTGCTTTATTTTAAATAATCAATGTTCACTATTCGGGTGACAGCTACACTAAAAAGCCCAGATTTCACCACTATACAATATATCCATGTAACAAAAGCACGCATGCCCGAATCCATAAAAAATTTAAAAAAAATTTAAAAATCATTTATTGTACATCTTTTTATGCTGCACACTGTGTTAGGCATTTTGTCATATATAATCTCTCTGATCTTCATGGACACCCTATAAATTAGACATTTTATTCCCATTTATCAAGTAGAAAAACAGAAGCTCAACACAGTTATGTAATTATCCAAGGTTAACGGCATTATAACACCAGCATGCCAATACATAAACACAGCATTTTAATACTCCAAGGCAATATTCTACAAACTGCACCCAGAACCAAAACCAGATTCGCATTCTTCTACAAAGAGAGAGACAGCATGCAATCAAGGATAAAAATGCTGCTTCAGATCTCCTGCTTGTTTCAAAAAAAAAAAAAATGGTAAGAGATTAAAAATCTAAAAATGTTGAGAGATTAGCTAATTTTAAAAATCATGAAGGTATTGAAGAAAGAAAGATAAGGAAGTGTTCGGGCTGAGCAGTCAGTCTTGACTGCAAAGGGCGTTAATGATTCGGGAGCAAGATGCTGGGGACATTTTGTGGCTGAAGAAGCACAACATCCAATCCAGTTCTTGGCATAAAACATTTTGGAACTTTTACTGGTGTAGTCATCCTTCAACACTGCCAAGAAGGAGGCCTGTATTGATTGCCTTGTCTTTCTCTCGCAAATAAGATGAGTAGCTCAGTGGTTCATGCCTGAGCAAAGTTTACTGCTGAAAGTTTTCTGATCTCAGTGTCTCTGTGAAAACAGAGAATGACTCCACAAGCCCTGGAAACCTTTGCTGATGGACTGTATCCAATTTAGCAGGGGAACCATGGCCTGAATTCCTCCTCCCAGAACTTAAAGGAAAGCAACACTAGATAGACAATTGAGTAGGACTGATATTCAGAGGAAGCAGAAGGGGTTTAGCACCACAAAGAGCTGTGCACAAACTACATACACACACACACACACACACAGAGTTCAAGTCCAATGACTGGTTCTCAAGGAAAGCCAAAAGATTTACCATTTGGCAAAACTATAGGCTAACTTCATTCCAGTGGTATTCTAATCCTAGTTACAAGCCACTAAATTAGTTTCCTTCACATTTAAAAGTGGCCCACTCTGCCATGACAGTTTATTAACTTTAATGTACTCCACTCTCCCACTTTGATGTTTTATTTGCTCTCTAAAATATCTCTTGTGTTCTTCTATTTTGTCTCACACAATATATTATCTTTGGCTATGCAATGGCTAGTTGTGACACCCAAAGAATAGCGTCTGGTTTTACAGAGCATCTCATTTATACTCAGGATACAGCGAAGCACTTTACAAAGCAATACATTATGGGAGATAACAGTAACAGAGGGTCTGTGAGACAAAAAAAGAGGCTACTTTGAATACAGACTCAATTTCAAACATTAAAAGGGGATTCGTTGAGAGAAAGCATGTAGTTCAAGATAAGCAGAGTGGCTTTGCTCCCTTCCTCACAGAGACCATGGTAAGTCTTGATGCACCTGCTCTAGGAAGTCTTGCTCCCCCTGTAGAATTGAGCATTGCTTCCTTTGAGCTCTCACCATAGCCTGCATGTATTTATCTAAATATGCATAAGCTTTTATTATCAATATATGATGATGTGTCCACCTACTTTAACTAGTTGATAACCTCCTTGTGAGTAGGGACTTTTTCAGTTCAGTAAGCATTTATTGAGCACTTATAACCTAGTGAACTTTTTTTTCTTTTTTCTTTTTTTTTTTTTTAGTGGTGAGGATGCAACAGATACAGATTCTATCCTTCAGGACCATGGTCTAGCACAAGACACAGACACAGACCCATAAAGAAAATGTTGCCTCACTTTATTCATATTCTTGAACTCTAACAGTGCCTATATGCAATAAGGAAGGACTCAATGAATGGTGGCCAATATTGAGTTTCTACCATTAGGTTGAACCATATAAAATTGTTAATATTTGACCATTTTTGACCTATAATAGTTCAACCTGCTGTGTGCCAGATATTACTATTGCCAGGTAATTTTCATGCATTATTAGATACTCACAAAAACATTGGAAGTCATACTTTCCCTTTATCACAAATGAGAAAACTGAGAGTTAAGTACATGACCAAGATTACACAGCTAATAAGGGATGGCATCAATTTTCAAACCCAAGTTTGTCTGGATCCAAAGCCCTTCCTCATTCCCTTCCAGGGCCTCTCAGTATAATATGAGTGTTGAGTGAATGAATGAATGAATGAATGAATGAAAGAAATCACCAACCAAAACCAACTGGTGTTTTAATACCAGTTCTGCGTTAACACAGTGCCTGAGGATGGGCGAGTCACCTAATTACCATCTCTATGCTATCATCGGTGAAACCAGGATAATATACCTAACCTACATACCTGAAAGATTTTTGTGAAGATCAAATGAAAATATGTATATGGAAGTGCTTTGAAGAATCTAAAATACTCTACAGATGCAAAGGATATTACGTTTAAGCTTCTATAGAAGCTGTTCAAGGAGCCTAGCTATTTATGATAGCACAAAGTGAGTGTGTGGGAGGTGAGGGTGAAAGAATGGCAGACAGAGGCTGAAAGGAATGTTAAGAGGAAACTCGCATGGGGCAAAAGATATTAGTTCCCTGAGCGATATAATCCCTGAAGATGATGTCACACAATGGCCTCGGGGTAGCAGCGACCTCCACTGACAGCTTACTAGTCATGTAGATTAATTCAAGAGTCACTCCAGCCAGGGCCAGTATTGGGAATCAGTGGAGCTCAGCATATCCAAATCATGCCATGAATTCAGAAACCAGGGTGCACCAGCAGGACTAGCAACAAAGCAGTAGGATTAGAGAGTTGACTGTTCACTCATTTGGCTCTTTGCATCCTTGAAGCTTAGGCTAAGTGATCCCGAGATCCACAGTAAACAAAAGGCCACAGGAGCTTATCTTCATGCCAGTAACTGGTACAGGGTAACTATAGCAGGAAACAGTCTACACTTTGCTCAGAGCAGGCTCTAAGGGAAGACACATCTGGGTGGGAAGCCAGGCCAACCCTGTCCTTAGAAAACTGAGTCCTGGGGCAATCCCAAGTGGAAGGATATAAAATGTGACTTAATCAATAATTAAGTCAAAAATATTCCAAGCACCATCCTTTAATGCAGTCAGGACATTATTTAGAGTGATTCAATTAAGGAGATTATGACTGGAATATGACAGGCAGTGAGTGAAGTTAATATTAAAATGCCAGAACTATGTATCAGGTCCAGTTTCCCAAGCTACCAATAAAGACAGAAAGTTAGGAGACATAGGCTTAAAATGTGTCACATTAGAGAGTGGGGAAACAAGAATTCTCATATAATGGAACAGGAGTATAACCTTTTTGGAGGCCAAAGTGGTAGTATCTATCGAAATTTTAATATCAAGACAAAATAAAATTCAAAGGCAAAAACATCAAAAGGGACATTAAGTGATATCACATATAGGTACCAGGAAGATGCAATCATTATGAACACATATTCATGTATAAGGCAACAACTAAAATTTACATGGGAAGAAACAGACAAATCCAACTGACAAAAGATCTTATTAACTAAGACATAAAAGATTTTTTTAAAGCATGAGTTACAAGTTTGAACTAGTTCGGATACCTAGAAATGCATATAGAATAGAGAATAGATGTTCTTTTTAAGTACATACATGAAAAATATTAAATCTACAAAA